ACATTACTTGCGTTGATTCTTAATCCTTGTTTTTTTTAAGTGACTTTTTTTTTATTGTATACACAGGCACAGTGTCCAATGCTGTTGCGCCCCCCCCCCCCCCCCTGAGCAGTGTTGCTGACATTATTGCTAGATTTTTTTGTCTTTCTCCCTCTTTTTCATTCATGAAGAGGAGACTCCTCCTGCCCTGTGGTGTTCACTGCCAGTCTTGTGCTCCACGAGGGGATTTAAAACGCAGTCGTCTAATCCCCCCCCCCCCACCTCTTGTCTTCATTAAAAAAGGCCAGGCTACCCATGCCAAATGGTGGCACTCAGCCACCTGCATCGGTTAGATGACTGCTTGTTTTGCAGTAACTTCCACTTTTTGACTGGGACAAATGGAAAGTTTTTTTGTCAAAAATAGTTATGTATCTTATCTACCAGCAGCACAGAGGTTACTGAAATAGAAAAGTTAAAATCGCATGGAATTTAACGTGTGATATTTATAACGCACTTTTTTCCTCTTTGAGAAAAATACCGTGGTTCTGTGCTGTGTAGCTCTCCGGCGTGTTTTGTTTCAGAGGGGAAATGTGGAATATGTCGAACAACAATAACCTGAAAATACATTGGATTAATACGTGTACATATGGACATTAAGAAGCCCAGATTACTCTTCTGCAAACGAGTATAACAATGTTTATTAACATCTCCTGCCTCTGTTGCCTTGGTGGATTGTAAGCCACGAACAATGTTTGATTGGTAAAGGTAAAACCGGTCTTGGGTTTGCCTTGTCTAAACAAAATGCCGTTCAAAGACATTGGAAGGCCCGAATGCTACAAATGTAGCAACATTGTTCTTTTGAGCATTGTGTGAACTTATACTCCTGCAAAAATGATTAAGCTCAGTGCAACTGTTAAGCACCAACCCTATGGTTTGCGAGTCCAAATGGATCAATGGAAACTCCAGTTGTCTGCGGGTCGATGCTTCCTCTTCTCTGGTATATCCATTAGGATGCGTCACCCGGAAGTGTCGAGCAATTCCGTGTTGGCAATTCTATGGAAATAAGCCGAGATGCGTGGCAATTTCATAATATCTGCCTTTATTACACACTTGTGTTCGCCTTGGAGTTGTTTTCCCAACTATTAGCATACGACCTACTCTTGTTTATCCATGATTGGTACTCCCAGCACATCAATGAGGAAAATAGGAGTTCCACTTTATTGACACATTTGGTCTCATTAGAACCACATTGACCATCTGTGATATTGATTGGTTGTCCTTATACATCCAAGGAATAAAACATGTTTGATAATGTTTAGAAACTTCAAAGATTACAACAAAGCCCCTTTTTTTGCTCTTTAGCACTGCAACCCAAAATCAATTGGTAGATGAACATCTTCTTTATTAACGACTTGGTTTTCATTACAGCGTGATTTTCTGTGCTGTAATTGGCTTCTTGCTAGAAAGTGATAAAAAAAATTGTTTTTATCCATATAGAGTATTTCCCAACATCAATTCTACACATTTTGTCTTCAAATAACGAGGATTTTTTGCTAATATTGCATACATTTAACAAGATAAATTCTGATATTTCAATGTTTTGCTAAGTGTGTTATATAATGTTAAATTGGTATCTTAAAATTGTCCATTGATTACACTGTAACGTTTTTTTGTTCATGGGTAGTAAGTGTTATTTCCTAATTGCTTATGCCTCAAAAGTACAGAAAATGCCTCTTATTCCCCACAAACTTTGCTTTTGTGACCAGGACAGTGATATTTTGAAATTGACCTTTTTTCAATGAGAAAACGTGGTGTGCATTTGTGTCATTCCTTCACGTAAAGTCCTGGTCACAAAAGCAAAGTTTGTGGGGAATAATAGGCATGTTCTGTACTTTTTAGGCATAAGCAAATTAGAAAATAACACTTGCTACCCAGGGACAAAAGTCGTGTTACATCGTGTTTTTTCTGTTCCATTCTGGCTTCAAACTTCTATCACTGTGCTCATAATTTGAATGACATGTGCGTTTCTTGCACTGGTTTGTATTGATCAGCTTTATGCTTTCTGGCTATAGATGCTAACATCTTTTCCATTTTTAGTATTTTCAATTTAATTGTGTAAAAAATAACGCATCGGGGAGTCGGCTTGCCACTAATTTTGATGATGAAATCGTTTGCTATTGCGGTACTCTTTTCTCTTTGTACATTGCGCTTAATTTGCGCAATAGAGAAAGTGAACTTTTGGGTCCCCGTTCTCTTGGAAGTGTATATTTGTAGAAATACATTTATGCAAAGAGGGGGGGGAGGGTGGGGGAGGTCATAGCCGGAACTCCATTCCTATACACAAAAAACACACATAATAGGCAACAACGTGAATGTCGGCTGCGCAAGGTAAACCGTGTGGAATAAAAATAGATGTGGTACCCAAGTGAACCTAAGTTGGAAGCCCTGCGGGGTGACGTGCGGAAACAGAACGTGTGTATTTTTTTTCCCCCTCGTTTGGTCGAAAGAGTTCACTCCGATGTGATGCCTTCAGCTCCGCTACCGATTTATGCGTAACTGTCGCGACCTGTCTTTTGTGGAGAAAAGTGTGCCAGCGACTTGTGAAGGCGTGCAACTTTTGCCAGCTTGTGCAGGGGTGAGAGCCACAATTGTTTAGGTGTCGGGCTTTAATGCTTCACACTGTGAGCGTTTACCTGGCTAAGGCCATCTTATTTAGAGGTGATACAGTTACGCTTCAGTTGCAGATCAAGAATGGATTTTTTTAGCGAATTGCTTTGCCCAATAAATAAAGTTTGCTTAGGCACGCACACATTTCACAAAAGCCCTTTGCTCATCTCTTTCCACTTCGACTCACAGCCTCAGCAGTTTGTTAACCTCAACCCAAATGCGTTAAAAGTAATTGTGCGGGAATATACGACTATTACCATTGCTCTCCATTCTTGTAATGGGATGATATGTTTACATTTCTCACTTTACTCTGATTACTTTATCGATTCGACTCTTATGAAGGGTGCATTTGTGGAACTGCTGGTATTTTGAAGTATGGGGATTGGCTTGGTCTTTAACACAAAATTGTGTACATGGGCTTAGCAATTGTTTGCTTAATTTTCCAGCTGTTTCTAAATGGTTTTTGCACGTGCATGTGCACTTCTCAGAAATCCTATACAAAAAGAAAAAGCCTTGAGTTAGAATATCCCAAAAACAACTTTTACCAGTGACACCTTGATTTACCACTACATATAAATTACAGAGAAGACATATTTTGAAAAGTAAGCTATCAATAACTAGATGTTTTACCGTTACATTTTTATGAAACTTTTGAATCTAGAATATTATTCACATGTTATTTGCAGCGGCTTTTTCAGTATTGGTTCCAATTTCTAATTTAAGCCTAAATTAAGAAATAAGCATTAGAATTCTTCTTAAACCTAGTGCTAATGTTAACTCCAGCCATGACCTTATAGTCTTAACTTGAACATATCATCGCTGCTGCTGAACCTGTGCTAAAGACAAACGTAGACCGTGAGTTGGAAATGTTGGAGATGACCAGACGGGTTAAGCTGGTGCAGCCAGGGGCATGGATGAATAGGGGAGAGTCCATATGGTGTAGTATTTTTAGTTTGTTGTCCTTCCCGCTCCACACCTCCGTTTAGCTACGTACAGTGCAAAAGAAGTTCAACGTACACACATTGTGTAAAGGACAACAACAGACGGGGCAGTTTAACCAAATGGAGAGTGAGTAAAAGAAAGAGAGCGCAGAAGAGAGTGTTGAGCAGAGAGAGTGCAAACTCTTTGGGTGGCGTAAACTGTGTGTGGGCACGAGTGGGGCAAAGCAGGCCGTCTGAAACACGGGGAAAGGCACGCGTTGGGGGGGGGTGGGGAGATGGGCTGAGGGAGAGAAGAGGCCCTGGCGTGTTTGCCCAGACCCCGGGTCTGGCGGTGTCGCTTGCCGCTTTGCTGGAGGGGGGGGGGGTAGCCGACGCGGACGTGATTGTTTGTGACGTGCCTGCAGGGGTTGAAGCGGCCGGCGCAGCTGTTCACTTGACTGCCAGCCATTCTGGAGACTGACTGGTGTGACGCTCGCATGCGTGTGTGCGTGCGCGCTCGCTCGCTTGCTTCCTTAGCACGCACATGCGTGTGTGCGTGCGCGCTCGCTCGCTTGCTTCCTTAGCACGCACATGCGTGTGTCTTGCGTGTCTGCTGCTGCTGCTGCGGTGGTGGGTGGAGAAGGGCGTTTCGTTGGCACCGTTTTTCAATTCGTGCTCGGAGGGCCTGTAACGAGGCCGAGGAAAAGTGGCATATTTTGTTTTATTCAGGCAGCCACCTTCGAAAAACGATGTTTGTAAGACGTAACTCAAAATTTACTTGAAGATGTTTGGGAAACACTTCTCAAGCTATTATCTGTTGAGATGGTTATTGTTTTTTTACCGATGATGACTGGCTACAAACATCGTGTGGTGGATTGAGCCTATACATGTGTGTTACTGCTGAGAATTCTGTTCAGATTTGTCTTCTTGCAGGATGTTTAAGAATGATATAATTGCAAATATTGCACTGTCCTGATTTTATCCCTGTGATATATGGCATTATAGTGATTCGAAATTCTTATATTGATATGATAGATCACTGTATTGATTGTTTTATATAATACATCTACTGTCATAAGCCGATATGCAACCCTTTTGGAGCACCTATGAAGTGAATGTAGCTATCTAGCAATCTTTTTAACGCTCATAAATAAGTTAAGCTTATGCGTCAACACTCTTCTTACTATCCCTTTATTTGTGCGGCTATCTTAAACCTGTCAGATCGACTAAAGTGAAAGCGTGCGGACAGACAGCGCCACTAAGTGGCATTTAAGCTTCTAGATACTGCTTGTAGGAGCCGTTGCTGATAATGCACTTGACAGCGATTGTCATGATCACTGTAGCGACGGCGCCGGTGAAGGTTGTCTGTCAGCGGATGTATTGAAGCCGAGCTTGACGCGTCTGCTCGTTGTGTGTCCACGTCTCTCTTTGTAGCCTGGGATGCTGGGGTCGGAGCTGGGCATGACGAGCCCAGGGCCCATGTCTCCGCATGGAAAGCCAGGCTCCCCTTACTACCCGTTTGTCGCCACGAACCCCCGCCGGAGACCTCTGCCCGACTCTCCAGGCATCGGTAAGTACCGCGCGTGTTGCGCGCACTCACTCTGCGCGACGAGCAAGCTGCCGACTGGAAGCTACAAACTCGGGATGCATACACAGGGCACGCCGAACTCATTACGCACCAAGTGTTGGCCACAAATAAACCATCACACAAACTCCGGTCATCCTCGCAGCAGCGGCTGCTTTTGGATAAGCATCGAACAAAGACGGTCAACGCATCGCGTGCTTTCATAAGCGCTTCTGCAGCCGTCTGGAACACCATTCCAATATTGGGAAGCCACTTTTAAATCTAGATATGAAACTCATTTCTTCATAATTGATTTTTGTATTTAGTTTGTTCTTCTCCCACAACTGCAATTAGCACGGTTGGCTATGTACAGTGCGAAAAAAGTTAAGCATACATAAAAACACAAAACTAAACTACCACCACTCTGAAGTAGATCTCCTGTTTGGCCTTGAACTCTTGTGTGGCTAATACTATTAACAAGCACTTGTTAATGTTGGCATGGCACTTAAGTGGGCAGTGCAGCCAAGACCCATGGCTGGCTGTCTTTTTTTTCCCTCGCCATATTGCAGATGACCAGACCTGTACCAGGTACTTTCAGACCAACTAGTACAGTGAAGTATGATCAAGCAGCTCCCCCATGACTGATGTGGCTTTTTGGAGGCCATCATCCAGCAGTGGATTGACAAAGGGATGAATGTTATTATTCTTATGGGAAAAAAATTCTGACTAATAATTATTTCCTCGTGCACAGCTCTACGATTCACGCACGCAGAGGCTTTTGCACACAACCTGTGTGGGGGAGCATATTCTACCGAGCCAACCCGCACAATGGAAAAGGGCCAAAGTGGATGGGGGGCAGGGGTGGGGGGGCCACAAGAGCTCAGTATTTTTTATCCACATGCCGATTCACGGCATTCAGCACCTCGGTGGGTGGGGGTGGGGGCAGGCTCACAATCGTCAGTGGTGTGGGATGGATACGGAGGCCCACTCCACACTCTTCAGAATTTTAGAATCAGAATATTGATTCGTACTGGAGGCATCCGATGAACTATATAAAGCTCTTCTGTGGGGGCGGGAAATAACGTTACAACCACAAACAATGTAAGAACATGATAGTCGTCGAAAGTACAAGGAAGGTCAACAAATAACCCAAATACATACAAATCAACTAAACCATCCCCATCCTCCCAGACAAAGCCCACTGAGGTATTAACTTATTTTTCAGAAGCGACCTGGCCCCAAATAATAGCTCGCCAAAGTGGCCCTTCCTTTGGACATTTTTAGCAAGGTATGCAGACTACATTCTTAGCACCCCCCCCCCACCTCCCCATAAGCCAGTTTATGATCGTGGTTAAAGGTTAAATATCTGGAACATTTATCACAGGTTTCAATGGAACTTGATTTTGTCAAATCAGTAAAGGATGGGTTTATGAAGCACTAGATTACGTACTTTGCAGGCACGGTCAACTCAAGTGTCAATAATCAGATGTTTCGGCGAGAGCAATGTGCTTTAGCTTTATGGCCTTTGAGTATGGTACGAATTTCCTAGCAAGATTGGCTCGGTGACTTGAAATGTTGGGATGGATGTGACGACAAGATAGCATTGTAGATGCGCTTGAGATTGGGAGCCTGATGAGTGGCGCACATAAACCGATGGAGGAGAGCAGGCTGCTGAGACGGGCATTGGAATGGCACCAAGAGGTTGGCGACAGGAAGATAAGAGACCTTCAGCCAGATGGTGGGCATGGTGCTATTAGAGCCGTTCAAAGTGGTCAGGTGTTGACTGTGCAACAGTTGCTGTATGGTCTGACAGAAGGGAGGAAGTCATGATGAGGTATGTTGGCACCAGCGGCTTTCGCTGCGATGTCTTGACCTTGACTTTACAATGCTCTGTATATGGACACAGGTGTTTGTTTATTGATTTATTAATCCAGCTGGCCATGATTGGGCAAGGACATTGTCCACTTTTCGCCTGGGCAACCGGAGGGCACAGACTAGGTGTGTCCGCGTGTATACACGACAGGATGGCGATTGTGCTGCGTTGCCGTGGCTCTCGGCACCCCATTTGCCACTCGCATAGAGGATTGGGCTACGTGTGGAGCAATTTAGCACTTTGTGGGAAAACTCCATGCAATGCAGAATGGCTCTTGAGGTGGTTTCGGCCACTTGCACATACGCATGTGAATAGGTGTGTGTGTCAGGCAAAGCGCAGTCTGGATCAAACGGCACCGTTTTTTGGGGGTGGGGATTATGCCATTATCTTGTGACGCTGGCCCCTTTTCCCTCCCCCCCCAACCCTACTCTGGGATTGGTTTGCAGAGAGCTCAGCTCGGTATTCATAGTGAAATGGTGCCAAAATTTGCTTGGGAAAAGTGAGAAATGGTCTCTGTGGAAAGTGTCGGGCCCTTGATTGTGTCTGAGCAAAGGGATATTCTTTTTCACTCTCTGGTTTTAAATTGCAAAGGTCTCGATAGTATAAGGGAACCACGTATTTCCATTTTAAATGAACGCACACATTTTTGCCTGCCATTTATTGCCAATGATTTAATTATTTCAGTTCAGAGACCTTTATTCTCTTTAGTACCTGTCTGTCACCATGCCAGTCTCCTCCTAGTGCTCATCATAACCCACGTGGGCGAATGTTAAATTAGACGGTGGAGTCCCACTCGGTTACGCGACTTGCAAAACAGCCCAGTTTTTCAGAGTCGTGAGCTTGACTTGTGATGCCTCCTTATCGCCATATCGCACATCCAGGCTGTTTGTTTAATTCCCCTTCTGACTCGCATGCCTTGCTGAAAGAACCACGCTTGAGCTCAGTGTGCCGAATTTACATGCATAGCACGTGCAAACCATGCCACTTTGATCCCTCCTTTGCATTGACAATAATGCTATCTCTAAATTATCAGTCATGTAAATCCCTTGTTTAAAAATATTTCCAGAGGGCCAGTGTTATAATAGGCATGGTTGAAATTTTAATAGAGGTTGTTGTTTTTTTGTGGGGTGTTTTTTGTTACCCATTATCAGTCCGGCAGCACGGCTGATAATTTGATAAGCATACACATATTATAACGTACCATTTTGAACAACTCTCTACTGTCGTGGCAGAATGCCATTTTTAATAGTGCAGCTTGTATTTACTGGGCCCTCAGTCACCGTTGCATGAGGTTGGCAAGCCGCTATTGGCCGAGCGGTTTGCCTCTCATTACCGCCCTGTCGGTGTTGCCGCTGACTCATTGATGAGCCTCGGAAATCACTGGATGCGGAGTTTCGGGAAAGTATGGCTTGGACCCATTCCTGCTGGCCCACGACGCCATGCTGGGAGGCCCAATGTCGTGGCACAAGTTAATAACAACTGGCACCCTATTCTTCTACGGCCAAGGGGGACCTGAGACAGAGCCCACCAAACTCTTTCTGGTGGTGCTATTTTCGAACGCCATTGGCCAAGGCCGCACGTATTGCTGCAGAAAGGGCCTTTCAGAGGTTAATACTTGGTTCCTTTTAAAATCATCCATATTGCGTGTCATTGTTTTCAGCGATTGTCTATTTTCGTGCTGTGCTTGCTCGGCTCAGATGTTGAGACCGAAACGGGGAGGATTTTTCCACAATTCTGGCTGTTGCCTGATGAGGCTGGTGGTAATTACCGGCGACGTCGTATTCAAATTGTCAAGGTTGTGAGTTTTACTCTCCAACACATCGGTATGCTGAACTAGTAACTAATTGGTGTGTATTGTTTATGTGACAAACCTTACTAATTGGCTGTGTCAGGTGGTGGCGGGTTTAACGATATATTTAAATTTATGCCATCTAACCCAAAAAAAACTCATATGGAGGATATTGGTCGGCGAAAGCCTACGTGTTAAACTGATAGCAGTGTTTATTTTAGGCAGCTACATTGCCTGATTTATGGTGTATATTCTGCTGAGTCATGGTGCACGGTCACTGATTCAAGTAAGTCCACAGCTAGCCATTAATTGATTTGGGGAGTTTAAAAAAGCATCAACCTGCTGTAAAGTGGATATTAAAAGCGCCTATTGCATCATTCACAAAAGTGTGGGCAAATTCTAGTTAATATAGTTCAGAAATGGAAAATTCAAAAGCACAACTGCCCCTGCATATCTTGTTCTCACCATGTTTTCGTTACAAGAGATCATCTGAATGGCCTCATACATTAGAAATATACTTTGGAATTTAGTGCATTGTTTGAATGGAATTGTTTGCTCTCTGTTGCAGATGTTGCAAGTAAGAAGATCAGGAAGATTCCTCCAGGGTTACCATCCTCTGTAAGTGTTGCTTTTTCTCTTTATTATCACATGTAAATTTGTCTTATTTAAAAACAATTTGTAAAGGACTTAAAGACACGATGCCTTTGTAGGAAGCCGATGGAACTATGCACGTGTACATCTAGATTTAAAACGAATTTCTTTTGAACTGCTTTTTGTGTTTAGTTTGTCCTTCCTCCGCACCTCCGATTAGCACGGTTGGCTATGTACTGTGCGAAAGAAGTTCAACATACATGTATATACAAAGACATCCATACAAACTATTCCATGGTAGGTTGTTTGCATTTTGAAAAGCACTCCTTACTGGAGACTGGTCACAGGATGTAAGTGTGCACACATCGTTCAAGTCATGTGTGGATGAGCAGGTCCTCAATCTGTTGAGACCCGATCCTCCCCAGCCTGTGATCTCCATAAATACTTGGGTCCGCCCATCAACCTCCCGCCGACGAGTCTATGCTGCCGCCGCGATACCGCTGAGTGCACCGAGCCCGTCGCAGATGTTCCGGTGACATCTGCGAGACTTGCTTGATGAATGGAAGCCGCTGCCGCTTACGTGTGAGCGCGCACGTGTATGTGACAGTTTGATTCTGCATCTCTGGGAGGGTATGAAATGCAAAGCCTGGTATATAGGAAGTCGTTGGCCGAATCTCGACGCTGACGCCTGTATATTTTGGAGTTTGCATATTCTCCCTATGGTCGCTTGGATTTTTCTCCGGGTCCTCTGGTTGTTCCCTCTGCGTTTAAAAACATGCGTTTAGAGGATTTTGTTTGCTCTATAAAATTCTACATGATGTTAAGCCACTTGGTTAAGCTATCGTTTATCGCCAGGTCGCTTCTGAAAAAGAGCTCGATAGCTCAGTGTGCCTTACCTGGTAAGATAAAAAAAACTAGTTTATAGAAGCCGAGAGGGGCATCTGCACCTTGGTGAAGCTGCTCGCCCCTTCTTCTTGCCACGGGCATCGCGAGTACGATGAGGGGGGTGGGGGGGGGGTGACAGGCAGTATTGCGCATCACGGTCATGCGGGGTGGGGGGGGGGTGCCCGCACCGTGATGTTGCCCCACACCCTCTCGCCGGGGCGCCCCTCTCCAGCCTTTGCTACCGCCACTACCCTGGCATCGACCGGCGGCCTCCTCCCGCGAGGGGATGGGGGCCTGTCAGGCCCAATCTCCTCCTAGGGCCCGCTGTTTGATGTTTAATTAGTTATCATGTCGTGGAACAGGAGGACAGGCAGAGATTAATCGCCCGGAATCTGACGAGATTTACATTAATATTAATAATAATCCCCTGAGTGTGGGCTTGCGCTAGGGCTGCGAGGGGGTGGTGTCAGGATTCGGAATACGTAAGAGGCAGGCCTTAATGGCCTCTGTGGGCCGGTTGGTCCTTTAATATGTATATGAGGCTCCAGGCAGCTGTTACAGCATGGCAACCCGCAGTATTCTAGCACGTGCATACAGTAACAGCCACTAAACCTTGTTTAACCTTTGGTAATAGAGAATTAATTACAAGCGAAATTGCTGGAGGAGAATAATTGTCATGGCTTTGTTATATTAACTAACAGCCGAAATTTATTACCCATGCATGATCTTGGTGAAGATGCAAAGCTGAGCTTTATTAAGGGGTGGTTGGCAGGCAGATTTGTAAAATGTTATTCATTGTTAATGTCGAAACATTTAAATGTATTCATCTCCTTTAAACTACCCCCATCACATACATAGTGTGCACTGCTGTCATACATTTTGTACGTAGGCAAAAGGTTTTCATGAACCTAAAATACAATCTGCAAAAAAAATTACTTGGATGAAATCATACATTTCAATTGTACCTTGGTTGGAGCATTGATGCAGTGGTTCGCTTACTGCTACATAAACTCTACAACCAGAGTTTGATTCCTGGCCATGGCTAACATTGGTGTTGAGTGAAATCCGAACCAGTCCTGGCTCCCCCCCTTCAATCTGCTTTGACCAACATGGTGAAGTATGGTCATACAAATCTCCAGGATAGACATGTGTTAGCGAGCTCTTCATCTGGCAGTGGAATTTTTTTAAAGGCTTTCATGATATACACATTATTTTGTAACTTTAGTCAACGTATAGTTTGTTAAAAAACAACTATGTTTTTATCTTGCATTGTTGATTTAGTGGAGGTGATTTTAAATATAATATGAATTCAAGAAAAATACATGCAAATTAAAATTTTCAGGCCTTCTCAACAATGTCGAAACATATAATGTGACTCTATGCAAACTCGGCAGCACGTATTTCAAGGAAAAATGGTAATGCACTTTATTTAATGTGGCTTTATATTGAGGGAAATGAAACCATCAGCTATTGTTATTGTTAAATGTGCAGCTGCGCTAAACTTTACACAGATCTACAAACCATTGGCTCTGAAAATGAACAAAAATGCATAAAACATTAAATACCTTCTCTCAGGCATGGCACAGTCTTCCCTTCAATCACGCAGTGCGATAAAATATACAAATTAAAAATGGCCACTAAGGAACATTTTCTCATGCACAGAAATAACTTTGTATTTAAATTACACTTTATAGGTTATCTACTTCTTGAACGAAGTTATTAAATATTTAAAATAAAAGTGCTGCCGGGAACCGGTGGAGCGTGCACGCCTGTGTAAATGAGTATCGCTCGCAGATTCTTAGCCGAAGCTTGGCTCGTATTCCCCCGCAAGCATGCGCAGAATGCTCGCGTTGCGGTCGAGTGTCGGAAATCGAACTGCCGCTCCGCGCCTCGGCAAAGCGAGCTGCGGCGCGGAGGGGGTGGCAAGCCCCCGGCATCGTCGCTACACCGAATCGCTGCGAAAGGGTCCTCTGGGCCAGAATCAACGAGCAAGCGCGCACGCGGCTCTGCATCGCCGTGTGGGCCCCGTGCGCCGTTGTTGGCTCGTGAAGCGCGCGCTCGCTCGCATATTTGTTCAAGCATCGCGCAAGACGTTGTTGTTGTTGAGAGAGAGCTCCGGCGGAGATTGTGAGAACCAGCGGAGGGGAGAGTGCGGTTTAGTGTGCGGAGTGCTGTCGTGCCATTCCAAGCATACCCTTCCCAAACCTCAAATGGTGTTTGTTAAATGAGGGGAATTTAGGTTAATGTTTGGAGTATTTTATATATAATGTATGTGGTTTAGCGTGTGCGTGTAATTCCCCGTGCACAAGTGAACTCGACGGCGTGAACTTGTTTACTTTGGAGCATTCAACTGGAATCTGAAGAAATGTAGGCATATGTAGGTGTACACTGTGCATGCGTAAGTAATTGGGAAAATTTAGATTTTAAAAAAATATCTAAAATGTCATGCATTTTGTTCAGTTTTTCACATTAACATTACTAATATGTTTTAATCTTCAGCAATGTATTTTAATTGTGTAACTGAAGTGAACACATGATCTACCGATAATATCTGAAATAATTAAAGTGCAGAAATGGGAAAAGTGAATTGTGGCCCGTTCTTACGAGTGGCAGCAACAAGCACAGCTCCCGTCTCGTATTGTGCTGCTTAATGTCTAAAATCATTTCCAATTTGTGGGTCATTACCTTTCAGGTTTGTGAGAGAAAGAAAGTGTGGGTTTTTTCCAATGCCCCAAATATTACAATCGGTCTTTTGTTCAAATGACCACAAGGAAACTTGACCATGGGCACATCCTATGGACTCTAGCTCCCTCTACTGGTTAATGCCTTAACACAATGTAAGTGCTCAGTGCACGCTCTCGTGGCAGAGTGAAAACAACCAAATGTAGAATAAAACTTGATTTGAAGCTTTTGTGACTGCAGGAATTACTCTTTGGTTCTTTCCGTAAAGTCACGTAGAAAGAAAATAGTTACTTTACCGAAAGAACCAAAGAATAAATGTATAATAGTTATAAACTTTACATTTTCGTATTGTAAGTGATGTTGGCCTATATTTTTTGCTGGTTTTCTGTTGGCCATTGCGAGATGTAAATAGAAGGGTCCTGGTTCACAATCTCTCACTATCCGTTATTTGCACCTCCCACTGCGTCTCGTGTTATTATTGTCCGTAGCAGCACACTATCGCCGCATAGAAAACAGCCGAAGCTTTGTGTTGTCATTGCTCGCTGGAGACACCGAAGAAAAAAAACATTCTCTGAAGCAAAGACTTTCTTGACAATTCAAATCCATTCCCGTCAGCCGGATAATCCAGCGTAGATCTTCCAGCGGGTTGTTTTTTCTTTGCTTTGCGTGTCAGGTGTGGCCAGCGAAATGAATTGTAAATTGGCTGGAAAATGGACAGGCGGTAAAAATAATTAACTGTTGGGCGCACGTGATGTGTACACGCTGGGAAAGCTGGACCAGTTCTTATGATTAAGCAGGGTGGCATTCAGGCACCCCCCCCCCCCCCCCCCGAAAGCAGGTTTCTGTACGCAGGTGCACAGAGTAAAAAAAAGTCGTCCTCAAGTGAAATTTAAAAACAAACATCTGTCCTTGTGACTTCATGTGGTTGCGTGCCGATTCATAGCGATGCTGTTTCAAATAGTATATACTATGCATATAGTATGTTAAAATGTTTTGTTGTTGTCAAACCCATATGTTTTTTACACTCATTGATGTTAACTTTAAAAAAAATGTGCAATCGGTATCATTAATAGTATTAATCCAATATGAACATTTACTAAAAAATAGCGTGTTATATGTTTGAAATTGATACTTAATGTTACCATAGTGTGGAATGGTGGTGCAGTGATTATCACACCGCTATTCCTGGCCATGGCAAACATTAATGGCAACCGTTAAATGAACCGTCCTCAACCCCCCTTCACCAGTGGATCAATATTTATTTAATGTGCCAATACCACCCTCAATAAAGGAGGCCTCAGTGCACATTACAGCAAAACGGGGAAGGTGCAGGGGCATAGAGCAGCAACAGGAGTGGGGTGAAATGGAACTCGGCACGACCTTCGCGGCTATCGCAGAGTACTGACCAGCGTGGTAAAGTCTGGTCATAGAACCACCATGTTCACCACAGCATTTGGTGG